TACGTTTGGCCGAACGCTCAAACGTAGGACTAATATAAGAGGGCGTTCGTCCTCAACTAGAATTCTTTCCGAATGAAAGAATTCAATTTCAAATAAAGTTTAATAACAACACCGAACGGTCAAGGACCGTTCAATGACGAACGTACTTTATCATAGGGAATTTCATACTTAAAGATTCATTTACATTTACTCATTTTCAGCATATACATTCCATACTTCCAAATACTCATACCATAGTTCATCACATCTTCACCATACATCAGTTCATACTTATGACCATATATCAAAATCAAATATCACAGATCATGCTTCATGCAAATCACAGAAGATCCATACAACACAATACAACATACGAATTAAATTGAATAAGCTTTCCTTACTTGGATTAGTGGTGAACGTCCTAAGAGTATGATTTTGGGTTCGCCCGTCTACAGCTTTCTACCCTCAAAGATCACTTAACTCTTGCAACTAAATCTAACCACATAAAAAAATCAAGAATAACTTAGACTATATCCCTGCATGCAACCAGAACTTGGTTTTGCATGTAACCCAAGAACGCTCGACGAAGAAGAGAAACTTACCAGTTTCTGAATCTGGAACTGTTCGGTCCATAATGAAGCTCACGACGCTGGGAATCCTTCTACGGTGCCTGAACGGTGATCGGAGCAGAGAAGAGTGAGTTACAGTAGAGAGAAGGGGAATTTCTAGAGAGAAGGAGGAGGAAAATGGAAAGTCAGAGTTTGGGTGGGGAAGGTGCATGCAGAAGAGAGTGGGCAGGGTTTTTCAGAAATCATGTTTGTTTACCCCACGTCCAAACGGTCGTGCACTCTCCTGTTGACACCTGCACTCCACTAACTGACTTCCGAATCTTCTATTATTGACACCTGGCGTTAGTGCATCAGAGTTGAGTGCGTTTTTAATGCATCTGAGGAGGGTTTTGGGTATAATAAATGGGATTAGACAGGTGGGATTTGGGTGCATTTAATGATACTAACATGTGGCTTTGGAGGTATTTTAATAGGTCCTGACAAAGGATAACATTTATATTGCAAAATTATTAGGGCAATTGTCTTTATAATTTGTCATATTTCAACTTTCACTAGTAATCATTACTAAAGTTATGTCTTATTTTTTAAAATATATTATTAACCAACTATTATTTTATATTGTAGGTATCTAATAGAAAAAGTATATCAAACGAACAACACTAATCATTTTATTGAACATGTTTCTTTATAATGTTTACTATTGAATAATGTTATTATTTAATTTTAAAAAAAATAGTTTATCAAAATATGTTAATAGTTTATTTTATATATAATATTTAATTTTAGTTTCAAATTAATCCGTGTTTTGTTTATTAAAATATTTCTAAATAATCATTGTTATTGAAAATGTTTTTTTTAATGTTTATTATTGAATAATGTTATTATTTGATTTTGAACAATTAGTTTACCAAAACATGTTTTTAAATTATTTTATCAAAAATAATTTATCAAAGTTAATAGTTTATTTTATATATAATATTTAATTTTAGTTTCAAAATAATGCGTGTTTTGTTTATTAAAATATTTTTAAATAATCATTGTTATTGAACATGTTTCTTTTAATATTAATTATCGACTAATGGTATTATTTGATTTTGAACAATTAGTTTATCAAAACATGTTTTTAAAATATGTTTATAATTTATTTTATATATAATATTCAATTTTAGTTTCACAAAACATGTTTTTAAAATATGTTTATAATTTATTTTATATATAATATTTAATTTTAGTTTCAAATTAATGCGTGTTTTGTTTATTTAAGTATTTCTAAATAATAAAATAAATTAAATAATACAAAAAATTAACCTGATTTGTATTTTCAGTGTTTTTGAATCCTATTTAGTATCGGTATTTTTCAAACATTAGGTTACGACAGTTTCCAAACCCTAATTAATTTTGACAGTTTCAAAATGGTGATTTCCAATAAACATTTACAAATAACGGCGATTTTCATGAAACATATGTAAATAATGACAATTTCCATAAAACCTCTATAAAAACAGCAATTTCCATAAAACGTTGGTAAATAACTGACAGTTTCTATGAAACATTTGTAAATAACAACAGTTTTTCCAAAATCCTAAAAAATTGTAGCGGTTATAAAAAAGTCGTTAATAATTACTTAAAATAATCTTACAAATGCTGTTTTTCCAATAATTTTTGCAACTTTGGAAATTGCATTTTTCAGAGGTTAAAATCATAGTAATGTTAAATTGTTAAAAAGTAACCCCTAATAAAATTTCAAAATGTTGTTATGAAATAATTTTAAAAATATTTAATGACAATAACATACTAAAAAAGTTTATTTAATAATAATTAACTATTATTGACTACGCTAAATGCTATTTTATAAACTAATAATAGTTAAACTTTGTATACTTTAACTTACAAACTAATTATAAACTTTTATTAATAATATACTATTTTAAATGTTAATAATGATTTTTTATCAAATGCTGTCTAGTTTAATTAATATAATATATGATTATTTTTTCTCTCTAAATTAATTATTATTCAATAATTTTAAATAATTTTCTTATAGTGCAAACTTAGTTGGTTTATAACATTCATGTAAAAATTTAATTAAATTAATTACTTTTATTGTCAGGCTTATGTCAAAGAACAGGATGAATTACCTAATGATTATTATTTTTTCTCTAAATTAGTTATTATTTAATAATTTTAAATAATTTCCTTATAGTGCAAACTTAATTGGTTGATAAGATTCATGTAAGAATTTAATTAAATTAATTACTTTTATTGTCAGGCTTATGTCAAAGAACAGGATAATACCTAATGAATTTTGGAGTGATTCTCCTGAGTGAACATTATAATATTATAAAAATATAAAAAAAGTTGTAATTTATTTTTTAAAAGGACAGATAGCAACGACACAAAAGTTTCTGTATAAAGTACCATATTTTAACAAACAGAATTAAATAATTAAGATTCTTTAGCGAACATGATACCATAGCAGAGACGTGTTGTAACACCTTATTTATACAAACTACTGTATAATTGAGAGTCAGTCAACTTCTATGATTGGGAAACCAATTTGCATGGCAAGACTTTCCTTCCTCATAATGAAGGTTTTTGAAAAATAGTCTTGCAATCGTAATTTTCAACCATAGCATAAAGATTTTTTTAATTTCTTAGTCTTCGAGGATAAAATTATATATATATATTTGGAGAAGATTAAACAATAAAATAAACTATTTTATTCGTATAAATAAAAATAAATATATGCTCTTAATTTGTATATGAAAAATATATTTAAATTTTCCAAATTGTAAATACCTAAACCGATTTTAATTTTGTGAAAATTTAATAAATAATTTTTGTAAAAAAATTATTATTGAATGTGTTTTGAGTCTAATTTTAATCTAAATTTAAATTTTGTTTTTATCCTAAACCTTCGTACATTTTTTTAACTTAAAAAATAAATAGATATAATTTTTTTAATTCAATAACCGTCAATTTTATGTGTTAAACATTATTTTAGAGTATCATTTAAACTTAAACATGTTATCAAATATTAACATCGTTAAATTAAAATAAACATATCTATTATTTTTAAAAATTAAAAAAAACTGAAATTTAAAAGGTAAAAAATTACAATTATACATTAAAAATACAAAAAACATATTTAATTCATAAATTTATCTCTCACAAAGCGTTATACATGTCTTACAAGATACTAATAGATTTTAGATTTTAGGCATGGTGTTAGAAGTTTGAAAGGAATTAGTCTCCAACCAATGATTGAGAGTTGTTAGAAGGTAAGAAGAAAGTGAATGAAACAGAGTTATGATAAGAAAAGAAATTGTGAGGGTAATTCAAAAAGAGTGATAAATACAAGATCATAAAACTATAGGAAATAAAGTGGGAGAAATGGCAAAGATGGTGTCCTAATAAGATAGATCTGTGGCCCTTTGGAAGACCCATAATATGTGGTCATCGTAGACTTCAATCTTGAAATGGATGGACTAAAACAAAATCCCAAACAGTGTAGGGGACACTTAGGTTCTCTGGCCAGAGCAGAATTTGCCACCTTTGATGGTCCACATGCCTGAAAAAAATTCCTCACTCTCTCTTTCTCAAAGGCTCTGAATTTTCCTTTTCACTGCTCTACACTCCAACTTTTCCTTTTCATAAAGTGACTCACTTTTTCTTCAGTAAATGAAATTCTTAGCCATCTTTGAAATTACATGTGCCACAAAAGTACAAACTCCTTCACTTCTCTCCTGCTCCTCCCTTCTATTTAATCCATTCTCATCTTTCATTAGCCACAGTGCCCTTTCTCCAATTCAGTTATCTCTGCTCCTTTCAGCCTTTCTACCCAAAACCAAACACCAGCTACAGGCCAATCAACAATAAAAACACACTCTTTCCTTTCTTTTGGGGTGTTCGCCACCCACCCACTCATCGCAAATTTGCACTCACAAATCCAAACACAGCCCATTGGTCGGTTTCAGAGATGAGCACCATGCACATAGAAACGCCACAAACTTTGCCTGATGGCAGCAAGAACTTCGATGAAGATGGACGAGCTAAAAGAACAGGTATAATTAACTCTTCACGTATTAATAATTTTTATGATAATTATGATATATAGTGAGTAACTGAAAGTTGGAAATGGTTAATTTGAAGGGACATGGGTGACCGCAAGTGCTCACATCATAACGGCGGTGATTGGTTCAGGAGTTCTTTCTCTTGCATGGGCAATTGCGCAAATGGGTTGGGTCGCTGGTCCTGCAGTGCTTTTTGCCTTCTCTTTTATCACATATTTCACTTCCACTCTTCTCGCTGATTGTTACCGTTCACCTGACCCTGTCCATGGCAAGCGAAACTACACATATTCTGAGGTTGTCAAAGCCAACTTAGGTACCAACATCATTCATATTTTGTTAAATTTTCTGTCGGTACAAGTGGCCGATACTTGACACGTGAGTGTTCTGGTTTTCTATCACTCTTGTTTTATTGAAAACATTTTTCTGTCTGCGAAAAGATAAGCCACATGAGTATAGGAATACTATTTTTCCCGTGACAGTATTATTATACTTTGTTAACAATTTCAGTAGCAAAATTCACCTGACACTGATGGGATATAATTGTATGTTACGTTTGTTTGTGTCGATAGGAGGTAGAAAATTTCAGCTTTGTGGATTGGCTCAGTATATAAATCTTGTCGGGGTAACCATCGGCTACACAATAACTGCATCTATCAGTATGGTGTAAGTTTTCACATGATGTTTTGACTTCAAAGACTGTCTGAGACTGTTTTTTAATGTTTTATTGTTTGATATTTGTTGAAAATTGATTAGGGCGGTGAAGAGGTCGAACTGTTTTCACAAACATGGACATGGAGACAAGTGCTACATAAATAACTATCCTTTCATGATCGTGTTTGCCTGCATCCAAATTGTTCTTAGCCAAATACCAAACTTCCATAAACTCTCTTGGCTCTCTATTGTTGCAGCTGTTATGTCTTTCGCTTATTCTTCCATTGGCCTTGGCCTCTCCCTTGCCAAAGTCGCAGGTAGATAACCATTTCATTATCACTCAATTTTTACCTTAGGCCTAATTCTTTTAAAACTATAAAAAAAAAATTAGGCATATATATAGTTCAGCCTTTTAAAACTTAAAACAATAAGAAGTTCAAAAAATTGAGAATTTTGACTAAAAGTAGAAGCTATCTTAAATATATATATTTTTTAATGATTGTATAACTGAAAATAAATATGAATTAACTTATATCTTTAAAATGTTAATAAACTAAATTATTTAATATTAAAATAGTTTTTTAAAAAATATGTTACATATTAGGATGATGAGTTTTGATTCTATTTATTAATAAAAACATGAGTATTATGAACCCACCCTAGTATTCTTTCTAACACATTAAGAATGACTGAAAATTACAAAATTAGAAAAGCTATATAAATAAATTATTCACTGTTAACGCCGATGTCACTGTATTGTGTGTTTTCTAAGCAAGAAGTTAAGAATTTGAATTTTAATAATTATTTTTAAAGCGTGCAATTTATTTTATATACATTAAAGTGTTTATTGGTGTTAGTAGTGGTTTTTGGTGCAACTATAGATGAAAAAACAAAATTATTTACAGCTTTTTAATAAATTTTAGTTAATAAAATATGTGTTCTGTTAGTATTTTTCGTTAATGAAATAGTGCTAACGAAATAAAGGACCATGCTTAAAGGTGGGGGACACGTGCGAACAAGCTTAACAGGGGTGCAAGTTGGGGTGGACGTTTCGGGAACAGAAAAAGTTTGGAGGATGTTTCAAGCTATCGGTGACATTGCCTTCGCTTATGCTTTTTCTAATGTGCTCATTGAGATCCAGGCAAGTAATATTTATGTTATTAATTAAGTAATTAT